ACATGCCATTCCCTTTATCTAAGTATTGCATCCCTTCCACCAGCATCCTGCTTTTGGTCATTCCCCAGTGGCTTCAGGTAGTTTTATTCAGATTTTTGTAGTTTTATCTACAGAGGCGTTTTTCTGAGAGGAGCTTTTTCGCCATGACCGGAAATAGAATGTTCAGAGTAATATGTATCCCGTATTTCTCAGACTATGCTAGTTAGGGGGTTAAAATAGAGTCATCTTAATAGTTATAAGGAAAAATTTCTAGCCACACACTTTTCCATGGTGGGAATTGTAGCCCTCCTCAATTTTCTCCCAAATTGTTTGGAAGTCCCCAATGGATATTTCATTATTTTTCATAAATAGTCTGCCATTTCTTTTCCCCTTCTCTGGCTTGCTATAACTCTTACTCTTTGTGAGAATTTTGGTCCAGTATAAGTTAGAGGAAACAGTCCCCACAAGAGACTACCTTCACTTCTGACACCAACTGCAAGTTCAGGAGGTTCCCTCAGATTTGGTAAGTCACTGGAAGGACACACAGAACTCACTGAAAACTGTTACACTCATGGTTACAGTTCATTATAGGGAACAGACACAGATTAAAATCAGGGAAAGAAAGAAGCACATAGGGCAGAATCTAGGAGAAGCACCCAACACAGAGCTTCTATTGTCCTCTCCCTGTGGAGTCAGGATGCCTTATTCTCCTGCCCTCAGTGTGTCAATATACATAGAGTATTGCCAGCCAGCCAGGGAAGCTCACCTGAGCCGTGGCATTCAGGGAGCTCCATTACATAGGCATGGTTGATTGCCCATGTAGTTGATCTCAGTCTCTAGTCTCCAACCCGTCTGGGCATGACCCAAAGCCCCTACCATAGACTGAATTGTTGGTCCTTCTAATATGGTCGGCCCACCCTAAATACTGTCAGGTGTGGCCCTTTCACACCCTAAATCACATTATTAGACCATCCAGAATGAACTGAGGCCCCAAGGTAAACAAAAACTCTCCTACCAGGAGAGATTGCCTCCCAGAACTGAGATTACCTACCCAAGGCCAGTCCTTCTCTTTGGGCAAGGCCAAATTCTTTACTACACATACACACTTGTTGTTATTGATGTCAGCTAAATGCATTAAGATGACTGTTGATACCTATCAATCTCTCAAGGATATTAAAGGCACTGGGTTCTTGTCACTGCAGAAACTACTGGTACTGATGGAGTTCAGACTTTATCTTCTTGAGATCCCATGGAGATTTCTGAGAAGCAGTTCTCTCTTTTCCTTTTTTATTTGGCAGGGAAAATTGTCCCTGAGCTAGCATCTGTGCCAGTCTTCCTCTATTCTGTATGTGGGACACTACCACAGCATGGCTTGATGAGTCGTGTATAGGTCTGCACCTGGGATCCAAACTTGGGAACCCTGGGCTGCTGAAGTGGAGCATGCGAACTTAACCACTACACCACTGGGCTGGCCCTCAGTTCTCTTTATTTTTTACCTGCTTTCTGATTATTAACCTCTTATGTGAATTCATGACTGCAGGGCAGAGGGCAATCCCCATGGCAGAAACTATGGTCCTTCCTCTCTGCCACATTTTGTTTCCTCTGCTGGAGATACTCTTCCTACTTCTTTTTTGCCTTGTTAACTCTTATTTGCCTTTCAAGATTCAGATCAGAGGTCATTTCCTGCAGGAAAGCATCCGTAACTGCCCCTTTGGGAGTGAGATGCCTCTCCTAGTGCTCTCAGTGCACTCAGCACGCCTCTAATCCCCACAAGAATATGAGATGATACATTGTAACCTTTCAGGTACTCCTCTAGGCTACCAACTTCTTAGGGCAGAAGTGGGTCTTATTGATCTTTGTATCTCTGGCACTTAGGTGACACATGACACAAAATAAGGGATCAGCAAATGATTGCTGAATGAATGCTATCCCAAGAAACTTCTCTCTTCTGAAACTGCCCTACTGTTCTTGAACAAAACCTTTACAGCTCTACTGTCTCTTCCCTTTGATTGTTACTGAGAGGCTTCTTCGTCCCTCAGGCTAGGAGGCTGCGTTCCTTCAGGTCCCTAGTTATGCCCACTCAGGCTGGAGTCCTGGAATGAGCACAGTTTAATCTCAACCTGGGACATGTTCATTGACCAGAACTTCTACCAACATGGCGCATCAGAAGATAAACGACTGCATGTGGCCTTTGTGGGGACACTTCATTCTGCTCTCAGAAGTGACCCGGCCCCTCTGATTCAAAGGTTGCAGAGGAGGGTCTAAAATATAGTTCTATGCATCTCATGATGGTATGATGTTCAAAATTATCGTGGTGTGAACATCCCTGTGTAAATCATGTTTGCTTATAGGTGAATAGAGAAATATAATAATCCCCGTATTATTTGGTTACCTTAGAATTCTGTTGTATTTGAAAATAAAGCAGGATGCATGTTTCTTCATTTCATTTACAATAAGAGTGGAAAAGCTTTTTTGAATAAAATTGTGTCCTTTCAAATCTAATATAGTACAAATAGTAGTAAAATAAATTTTACAGGTCCTGGCGATCACATAATTCCAGAGGTAGGAGAACATATGTCTCCAGGGTGTGGAAGGTCACTCAAGGAGCACTTTTAGGTGCTGATCTTGCACTTGCGCGAGGCTGAGAGTAAGCGCCTCCTTAAATTTTGTGTCCTGTGCACCTTGCCTGCCTGACCCTAGTCCTGGCCCTGAATACGCGCTGCTTCTATCACTTAGAAAGCGTGCAACCTTAGAAACGTAAGTTACTCTCTCTAAACCTCAGTGTCCTCACAAAGAGGTAATGACAACCTGAGAATTTTAATTGAATGTCAGTATGCAGGTTTGGGCAATATAAAAACAGCCAATGAACAAGTTTTAAAGAATGATAAACTTAAAGAATAATAAAGGGTACACTAACCTGAGATATTCATTTTAATTCTTTCATTTTACTGAGGAGGAATTGCTCAGGAAGATGCAGTGACATATCCAAGGCCATTAATCTATTTTGGGCAGAACAAATGCTGGAGATACTATTCAGCATTCTTTCCACTCTACCCTACTTACTAGACAGCCCAGTGAACTAGGTTGGAGACTCTGGAAAGGCAGAGGAAACAAATGGATTCAGGAAAGTTTGTGGAGGAAGAATTGATTGGTGAGTGACTAGTCAAGTGATGGCTTGGAAGCCTAAAGGACGTCTACAATTTAGACCACTGATACCTAAGAGAGTAATGCCATCAACTGAAGTAAGCAATGGAAGTAGGTAGGAGAGATGGTGAGTTGCCAAAAGACTGGAATAGAAAAAAACATACTTAAGCTAGGATGTGAAGGATTTAGACAAGATGTGAGGCAGAATTTTTCGTGAAAGAAGCCTGCTAGGAGTTTGTAATCGGATATTTAGGCAAACTGAGAAAATCTTTTATGCTGGTCTTTGAAAAGAGGGTAATTTTCTGGGATGGCTTAAGCGTAGCATTGCTTGTAAGCAAGAAGCTGTATTCAATAATTTCCCCAAGTCCATCTGAGGCCAGTGATTCTTTGAAGTTCTTAGATTTAGTACACATGGCTTATAAAATGGATGTTGGATATGGTACATAAAAATATGAAAGATTCAAAATGACCTTTTTAAATAGGAGGGGAATCAGCTATGCTGTATCAAAGGGGTTACTGTGGTGTAACCTTTCCAGCTCCTGCAGACTGTAGTGCTTTTAAAGACCCAAGAATCTGAAACTTCATCCAGGCACTAACCGTATGTAGCCAGCATGTCTGCCAAGGCGGTTACAGAGAAGGAAGACAGCTTATCAAGAGGCAGCATCTGCACCAGAGAACCAGGAAGGCTCCCGAGCTGAGTTTTTATCAGCAAAAGAGGGAAGATGAGCCTGACCAAGTTGTTGTCTCAACAGTTTCCTGCTGAAGACAACTCTGTAAACTAAAGAAGTCACATTTAACATCTTTTTAGTTTTCTGGCTCAACTGGTAAATAGTTATGCTTTCATCATTGTTGGTTTTCTTCAAGCATAACCATGGACTCAAAAGAATTTTAAGAAAAAATGATTTTAAGGAAAATACTATAATCCAGGCTGTATTATTGTGAGAGAAATCAGAGTGACCAAAAATGATGTTTCAAAATCCTACTTTGAACTTGTCTTAGGCTGGGACCCAGAAAAAGCTACTTCTACTGTGGAAATATGCAAGTGTTGGTGATCTAGACCAAATAGATTTGCTACTTTCAATGGAGTAGTTTATTTACAGCATCTTGATGAGAGAGAATGTGGGGCCTACTAGTTCATTTAACTATAATGATGGATACTACTCACAAAGACAGAATGTGTTCAAAGCTAAGGTGTTTTCTGTATGGTGCATGGATTTTATTGCAATGACTATTCTAGAGCAGTCAGAAGGACATGGGACAGAAATTAGCATTACTAATTTAGGCAAACTAGAGAAAACTTGGTAGTAATTATTTCTGTAGACAAGTAGCAGTATGATCCCAGTAAAGCCTGTATTGAAATTGGCCCTTTGGGGATGGTGACTGCCCTCAATATCCGTCTATTTGGATAGAATGGAGAGGGTATACAGGGATGAAGTTCCGTGCACTGGATTTTGGAGCCTTAGAGGAAAGTGGTGCTGAAATGTTGAAGACATTATGGGGTGTATTCACAAGCCTAGTGTATGGGTAAGAGTCTACTTCTCCAGCTTTGAATGGACTGAAGAGGAATGCGGAAGCCTTTATGGTACCTGGAAGGTTTTGCAGCTTTGTGAGCAGTTGGAAGCAGAATTTTGGTCTACAGAGGTCTCTTAGCCAAATGGTGGCACACTGCAAATGAATTAGAGCTATTGTTGGTTTTCCTGGTAGCATTCATTAGGTCGTAGTCTTGTTCTATAGTCTACACCCATTTCTTGGAGAAATTTGGGATCAAACTCTTGATGAAAAGTTGTGCAACTTAATTTTTGTCACAACCATGTTTTTTAGGAGTCTTTTGAAAAAGAAATGTATTTATTATTTATTCCTTCATCATGTATTTTCAGCTGGATTCTAGAGTATAAATGGAGAACAATGAGAGATGAAGACAGAGTGACAGGGTAAATTATGATGGACCCTCATGTGATGACAATGAAGCTGGATTTTATTTGTAAGACATTAGGGAACAACTGGAGGATGAAGAGATGCATCCAGAGCAAAGGTGAGATAGTAGAGGTCTGTTGGCTCACAGCCTTCTGGTTATACCTCGATCGTGTTTAAACTGTAACATCCAGCAAGAGTGACGCTGGGTTGGAATACAAACTGTTTTGCACCTACTGTGGCATACCTGGTGCACTACACATATTTATGTTTATTGCACAGCCCCCCATAGACATTATTGTTTGCAATTCTCGATCTAGAAGTTTGTCTTCAAACGCCATATAGAAACACTATATCTTTACATTACGTGAATATCACCAGGTCTGACGAACCTATAAATTCAAATACAGACTCATTAATACTAGTGCTAAATAATTATGGTTCTACATACACAAAAATTTGACTTAAGCAATGCTTATTTCTGAAAATCTCCAGGGATCTCTCATATGTGCAAGAGAAAAACAATTCACTCATATTTTCACCGTGTTGCCAGCAAGTTGTATGGGGGAGGTGTCATATCACAACCACTGCAACTGATGCCTTTCTGGGAAAGCAGCTTCCCTGCCACTCTACTAGCCTCAAAGATGGCTACCACTGGTTGGCCACTGCTCTGCAGACTCATGAGGTGTGGCCACATTCTTTCAGTACAGAGATGGGGATGTTCATTTTTCCATATTGGTTTCAAACTTTTGTTTAGGTGCCAGAGCCCATAATCTCAGAGTTTTACTGGAAAATAGCAGCTTTACTTCTGAGTCTAATTTTTCTTCCTTATGTGTTGCAAAACCCATCCTTAGAGCTGTTTGGCAGAATGACACCAGAGCATCACATTATTTATCGTTTTTTCTCTTATTTCCCTAGGTTCTTCCAATCCCCTTCTCCCACGTACCTCATATTGCCTCCTTTCGGTAAAACGTAGAAAAGCTCTAATGCATTTCAACTCATCCAAATGGGTACTCCATTTGGAAGATGACCTTCAGTCCCTCAAACAGATAAGGGAGCCCACTTTTGGATTAGCAGGGCACGGTACTAGATTACTATTACCTAGTGTGGGTAACCCACTGCATTTATTTTCATGTTTTTATAGTTTGGGTGTATACTCATGATCACATCAATATAAATATACTCATAAGCACAATCTTTGCGAAACCTCTGTTTTAAAAGTTGGGACTGTTCTTCATCTACTCTAGTAAATTCTACCTGAATGTTCCTTTCTTACTGTCTTTGGTTTACTGATACCACTACAGTTAAGTGAATCTATATTAATTTCTTTGCATCTCTTCTAAATGAGAGTTAAAGAAAATGTATTAGTCTTGCCTTCTGATGCCTTTTCACGTCTTTTCCAAACATGTCACCCTCCTTCAAAACCCAAGTCAGGACTCCTGTCTATGAATCTTTTCTTGCTGACTCATGTCTTGTTTTAGCCACTGGCATCACATTAATTCGTCACTTTCTGAAAGGTTTTTTATGGAGCACTGGTTTCTTGAAAGATACTAATAAGCGTTCTTTGGGAGAGGTAGGAAAAGAAATTTGTGGCCAACTAAATTTGGATAAGTCTGCTCACTATATCTACCTTTCTCAGTGCACCTGAACATATTAAAAGCTTTAACAAGTTTTTCAATAAAGAAATGAATTTAATTTTGTATTCAATCTTACTAATGTGTATGCTCTAATATTTGTGTTACATTTGTTGCATATTGCAGCTTTGTTAAGCTGTAAATTTCTTAGGAATAAATAAATATCCTCTATTTCTGTCATAACTCCCCTTGGTCCCTGATCCAATGCTGTGTATAGTTTTGCTACACTTACTTATTTTATACTAGACACCATTCTAAGTCCTGGAAGTTCAAAGATGAGTAATTTTTTTTAAAGATTTATAGGATAACAAATAGCTTTCAATGAACAGTATGTTGCTGATATTTAGCATTTACTGGATTATGAGCACCTTGGAATTCAATTTCCAATTCTAAGTGCAACAGTTTACTCTCTGTTTCTCTGCCTCCATTTAAGAATCTGTTAATCTTTTCTTCCCTGTTGTTATTACACAACTATAAAAAGACTTTTAACCGTATTTGAAAACTAAGGTAAAATTATCAAAATATTACACAGGGATTTGTAATTTTGTTTTCAGTTTCACTCTGATGATGAAAAAGTAAAAACATAAGTACAGGGCATAAGTATACTTCACTTGTTCTTTGGAATATAATTTATTCTTAAATTAGAAATGGAACATTTCTAACAGGAAGGATCAAGGGATTGTGAAGTGGTGAAATAACGCTTTAAAACAGTATTCCTAAGAGTCTGACATCCCCAAAGCAAGAAGCAATAGGAGAGACGGATAATGGCAGGAGCAGGTGAATGAAACAGTTTGTTACATTGCTGCTAAGAATGCGGGGGTGCTATTGCCGTAATTTAAAGCATTTAGGCTCGCTGGATGGTGCACGTTAGTACTAATTAGTGTAAATTAGTGCTAATTTCTAATACTCAAAAGATTATTAGCTTTTTGACCCAAGAAGTAGATATTCAGAGTTCAAAGGGCCCCCCACTACGCAAGAATTTGCAGTAGTGTTCTACTACACAGGGTTATAGTCCATTTGGAGACAAAAGAATTGTGGCCACAAAAAGAATAGCTCTTGGTTCATTTTGTAATTCAGCGAACATTTGTTGGGTCCCTATTTGATGTCAGGGGAGGTGATGGCAGTTGTAGTGGTAGTTAAAAATAAACAGTATCTTCTGAAGAGAATTCAATCTTTTGGGAGAGATGGAAAGCTTAAAAATATAAGGTGATAGAAGTATGTAAAAAAAGTTACTATTACGTGGTGGAGGAAAACAACAAAACTTTGAAAAACCTCTTGAGAAGTGAGTGGTTTTGCTCCAATTTATTTAGGAGGATAAAGAGCTCTTAGACAAAATGTTAAGACACACAAAACAGAACAAAACAAATGGCTTGAGGAGGTATTGAGAAAACAAATATTAGGGTTAAAATCTCAGCAAGTGAATGCACATGTCATGTCACAGAGAAAAATCTGAAGAAGAAACTGCTTCTGGAGTTAGATAAGGCTCTTCTCATAAAATGTGAACTCTGAACTTTTGATGAAGCAGAATCTTCCCACCTTCTATGGAATAATAGTGACCCTTGGCATCAGCCTTGGAGGGAAAAATCATAGTGGTGTTGAGAGACCACTTGCTGTGGTGTAGTTTCCATGGCAAATCATGAGGTGTATCAAGATTCTTACAACCCACCAACTTCAACACACTTCTGCCAATACACCAAGAAGAAAATGATACCATGAAGAAAAATATCTAAAATGTATTTCTTATAAATTTTAATTCTAAGGTGGAAACTGAACAGTTTGGGTTTACAGATAGAATTTAAAAAAAATCTCTTCTTGTATTTGAAAGTCAAGAGTTTAGAACAGAAAGGAGAATAAGGGAAGTGAAACACTGACTTCACAAATAACATTGAACAACATAATTTTTTTGATACTACTGCATATGATGAAAAACACACGGGTTTGTCAAGAGGCGGCAACATCCTTTTACAGCATGTGGGTCTGTAAAGATAATCTCAGATTGGAGAAGAGAATTTAAACTAAAATTTGAGAGACTTTTGGCATAAGAAAAGCAAAAGAAGGAAGTGCCACGTATTTCTTAGGAAAAATGATTAGAAACTATTATTGGAGCTTCAGATATCTATGTTCCAATTCCCAAAATATAATTGTTTGCCAAAATAAGAAAAAGATCTCAGAAGAGTGTTACCACTGTCTGTCTTTAAGGACTGTCCCTGCTTGCAAGTCCTGCTGCAGCCTACCACAGGTGTGGATCCCATTGTTTGTGGATACGAAAATGGGTCCGGGGGTCCAGCGTGAATTGGCTTCTCCATGCCCTTTTTGGAGGGTCTAACTTAGACTTCTGCCCATGTCTTCTCGAACCATGATGAAGTTAGTTTCATTTCTTAGCCCTACATCTGTCGTATGCCAGCATCTTGCCTTTCGCAGGCAGCTGAGGTTTTGGCAAGTTGGTTGCTGAATTGCTGTTATGTTTATGATTCTAACATATTAGGTAGATATGTCTTCTAATATAACTTTAAGAAGATCTTTAACTACTAAGATCATACCTGTGTTTTTGTGTCCTGTGTTAAAAATCATAGATATGATTAAAGTTACTAGATGAGACTAGTAGATGTTTCTGTCTTTAGGGATAGTCTTTAAATAAGCTGCCTGTGGCAAATTATTGGTAGCAATGTAAAGATGTTTCTAGGCCTTCCCTACCAGTTGAGGAAAAAAGTCTTTCGATCTGTGAAGAAGGGTGTAGGAGCTGGTGGTGAGGGTGGAGGAGGAGGAGAGAAGAGGAGGGAGAGAAGTCTCCCTTCGTTTACTGTCCCCTCCTGCCTCCCACCTTGGAGCCTACTCGACTACACGTCCAATGTCTGGATCTGTCCTTTCACCCGTGACCAAGGCCGAACACTCCTCTGGTCTGCCAGTTCATCTCATTCCCATTCCATCAAATTGCAGTTCTCCAAAGGAACTGTTAGTTTATTGAGATCAGATGTGTCTTTTTAATAAAAGTCATAAATTGGGAAAGATTGTTGAATATTCTTGGATTCATAAAGACATTTGTGACATATGTATTCTAACCCGGATACAAGAGACAATGCTAAATTGTATATTTATATATTTATCATCGGTAAAGTCAAAAGGTATGTAGAGACAAATAATTAACTAAAAAAATTATTTTATTAGCATTTTAAATTATTTTAAATTTCAGAGTTTACTAGAGGGGCCAATATAATAACATGAAAAGCACTTTAATTTTTTCATATTTGTCTAGTTAAAAGTATTCTGCAGGTATTCAGAAAACAAAATGTTTTTCGGTTTTTGATTCTTTTTGAGGAAGGTGAGCCCTGAGCTAACATCCATGCTCATCTTCCTCTACTTTATACGTGAGACACTTGCCACAGCATGGCTTGGTAAGCTGTGTGTATGTCCATGCTTGGGATTTGAACTGGTGAACCCCGGGCTGCCGAAGTGGAGAGTGTGAACTTAACCACTACACCACCGGGCTGGTCCTCCCCAGAAAACAAAATGTTTTAAAAATTATATCCATATTTTCTCTGTAAGAGATGGCTATGGAAGATAATTGAAATTGTGTGTACACGTGTTTTTACAATAGCTTGGGTTAGAGTATGCTAATGGCAATATTTCCATTTATTCTATCTGATATTTGGTTTTAATATTTACTCTTTATTCACTTTCTCTTGCTGAGACAGAGAGACATAGATGAATCTGCTTATTATTATGGAAATGTGAAATGATTTTCTTTTCTAGCCAAGACTTCTGATTTCTAGAAGCCAAAGGTGTTAACTCCACATATTAACTTTAAAGGAGAGCAACTAAAAGTGTTAGTCTTTAAACTCAAGATTTATATACAAAAGATTTCTAAATCAAATGTATCCATGAGCTTATATGTCACTCAAAAAAAGTAAGTGAGACCTGACTCTCTAATCAAGAGAGATCATGTTGTCAGAGATGTGGCAAAATAATACAATTGTTGGTTTTGTTCTGGCGTCATAGTCCCTGCATAGAGATAGAAGAAAATGCTTCTCAAACTTTAATGATCACACCAATCAGCAGGGGATCTTGCTAAAACGCAAATTCTGCTTCACTAGAGCTGGGTGGGCCTGGGATTCTGCGTTTCTAACAAGCTTTCAGGGAGCGCTGATGCTCCTGCTCCTTGGACCGCACTTCATAATGTGGATGAGCAATTAGAGTAAGGTTCATGATTCCACTTCACTTTTCTTTACTCCTCTTCTGTCCAGCTGTTGGCCTACCTTCTAGGTAGATCAGAGTGAATTCTGATACTAAAAGGATAAGCTGGAGGATCGTTTCTATAAAACTTTGCTGCAGATCAGTCAACTAAAAAGAAGTTACAGGGGCCGCAACAGAAATAATAAGACCATTGGTAACATATGTACTACATGAGTTTCTTGTAGCTTTATATGGTTTTGTTGATTAGTTAAAGGTAGGTAAGTTGGAATTTTCCAGCAAACTATATGTTTATTATCGTTGATATGTTTCAGTAATTTGGCAACAAGGAAAATTATTACTTGGACTGAAAAAAAAATAAAGTACATAGGGTATAAGTAAATGATTCAACGCTGTTGTGTGATTTCTTTCTGGCTTATCAAGTGTACACATTTCTTCTGGTGACTAGGTAGCTTATCTATTCCTACGAATGTATGAGTTCCTTGATAGCAAGAATTATAACTTGTACCCTCTCTGTGTGCGCTGGAGGGTCCAATGCAGTTCTGGGCGCACAGCAGCATGTTGACCATCGCGCAGCCTTCTCTGCTCTTCACTCTGTTCCACTGCTTTATTTTGCAGACGAGGTGCCTGCCTGTGAGGCCTGTCCTGCGCTGAAAGCTGCAGTTTGGGGTGCACACGTGCTTCTGGCTTTCACTTCCTGAGGATCATTCATTTTGAGGTGATTCTGTCCTCTTTACTTTTGCAGAGAGCCTTGTCTACCATTTGAAAAGGATCCTGATAAGAACTGTCGTAGAATTCTCCGGGAACAAATTATGTCACTTTTAGTGTTGTAAACATTTGCTAAATAATTGGTTGAAGTTTAGGAATGAGTTTATTATACCATTCTCTTTTTCGTGTGCATTTGGAAATTTGCATAACCAAAATCTAAAAGAAATAGGGAATCAAACAAGGGAAAATATTATTTATGAGGCCAAGCATGTAGAAGAATAGAGAAACTAATGCGGCTACAAAGACGTGCATGTATGTATTCATTGGTTAAGGCATATGTGTGTAATTTGATAGAATTATGAGTTCAAACTCTGACAAAAAGGATTTATTTGAACAATTATTTATTCTCAAAGACCAAAAAGGGTCAAGTTTTTAGAAGCTCATCACTATCCTGATCTGCTCAAGTAGGTTAAAAACAGTCAAATGTGAGGGGATATTTTAAAAGTCTACTATGGTGCCTAATGAAATTTCTCTGCTAATTATCAGGATAGAGACCAAGGCTTCAGGTGAGTGGTTATATGGGCCCGTTAGTTGTTTTGGCAGCACTGATGTACTGACTTGCTCTGTCATCTCAAACGTTAGTCACAAAGAGGGACTACCTGAGAATCTGGATTGATTAGTGTGAATCTAATACTACTAGGAGCAAGAAACCTCAATATAAATTGGGTCGGTCAGTCATTCACTTGCTTGAACAACAAACATTAACTATAGGCATGTTTTGTTCAAGACACTATTCTAAGGACTACAGGAGAAACAAGATACGTTAGGTTTGTTCCTTTCTCCTGTATCTTGTAGTTTAGTTGAGAAGATTTGACTTGTGTATTTAGTGGCAACACAGAGACTGGAATCAGTTCCACCAGAAACATATAAATGAAGGTCTAAGGAAGTGAGGAGGTAGTCAAAAGTACTTTTGCCTGGAAGGATGCTCCATTGATGATCAGTCAATAAGAGTATCTTTATGCTAGAAAGACTTCTAGGTATGTCAGTGTGAGAAATGATATTTTCTGACTTGAAAATATCTTACCTTTTAGGCTTTACTTATTTAGGTAGACATTAAGAAACATAAGCAGGTCAAAACGGTGATTTAGCATTTGAATACTAGATGTAGGTTATAAACTACTGAGTATACAAATAAAGTTACAAACCAGCATGCACAGTAGGACTCAGAGTTTATAATAATTCATGAGTATATTCATGTATATTTATATATGTCTATCCAGATTTGGGAAATTTTGAGCAAGATATACACCAAACTTTGAGTCATTAAATCTAGGGGATGGAATTGGATGGGTGGAATAGGGAGAAAATTTTACTTCTTAGGTGAGCCTTTGGAGATTTTTACTTATTTTTTCATTTTAGTATTTTTCAAATTCAAAGTTATAATTTCAGTTCCAATGTAGAAATGATTTTTAAAAAGGATCTAGCCCATGTGTCTGTCTTTTGACAAGATAATAAAATCATGTATGGAGGCTTTTCTTATCTTTGGTTTTAAATTTTCATTTTATTTAAGCAAAATACTATGGTATGATTGCATGTTGTTGCTTATGTAACAATACAGGAAGGAAAATGCACCAAAATTAAAAGTGTGATTGTGTAAGACTGAAGAGATTATAGGTGATCTATTTTCTTTCCCTTGCATTCTAAATTTTCTATAATGTGATTTTTAAAAATGTTTTGATTAATATTAATTAAAGAATGAAACAAAAAAGTTATCTAAAATACCTTTGCTTACATAATGACACACGTGCGTTTCAAGACTACTACAGGATTAAGTTTATAATGCACTTCAAGACTCTTATAATAAGCTTACAATTAGATATGTCTTATTTCTAAAACATAAATCAATGAAACAACACTATTTATAGATTATACCATATACGAGTAATTAACAGGGTAATGGCTAGCTTTGAGGAGACTGATTGTTCTAAGTAAGCATTGCATTCACATTAAAACCATAACATGCAAAAGGAGAACATTTCACAAACATCTGCTGAAAGTGTCAAGATGTTTTGGTTTTTTTCCCTAAAAGTCAGTGGTAGAAGCAGGGTTGTAACACTGTCAGACATCAGCATATTTCTTAGGAAGCACTCATCATTCATTTCCCACTCTTAGCTACCTGACAGCTGCGCGTCATGGAAAGGTCAAGGACTCTGCTTGTAGACCCAGGTCCAGCACATACATACTAGATGGATCATCGTTTAGCCTGTTACTTAAGCTCTCTCTGCATCAGTTTGCTCATGTGTAAAGGAAAAAAAAAGAAGAGAAAAAAAGATTCCCTAGGTGGAAATATATCTGCTGTATTTTCGTCTAGGAAACCTCCTGCCTCCATTGGGTGAGTGGGTGGGGCAGCTGGGGTTCTTAGAATGAGGGGATGGTTGAGGGGGAGAAAGTAATATTTATTGGATGTCTTCTCTCTGTCAGCAGGGCTGGCTTCATGGGCATGTGACCAGCATAATCACACAGGGCTTCGTGTTTAATAGGGTCCTATGCTTGGTTTAAGGTGCTATGGTCATCAGTCTAAAATTCTTAGTAATTTTATCTTTGATTTTATGATTTTTAAGTGAAGTCAGATAACCCTGAGGTGGTTCTTGGCTGCCAGTTCCTTGCCCCCTGGCTCCCTGGGCCCTCACTGGCCTCCTGGACCAGCTAGTGACAGCTGGGGCCCTCCTTTCCTGGCAGGGGCCAGGTGCAAGGAGGGTCTCGCTGGCCCTGCAGTATCTAAGAGCCAGGCCAGGGTATATTTCATGGGGCTTTGGGGTGTTGTTAGACTTTTCCCCACTCCCCATCCAGGTAACTAGTGTGTCCCATCTACCTTGGGTTGGGGTGTTAGGCTTGTGGGAGGGGAAGAGGCCTGGCTCAGTACCCCCACCCCCAACTGAGGGGCCGGTGTGACAAGATGAGATGCCTGGCGGCTGATGAGCTGTCTGTGTGCAGGTGCTAATACACTCCATAGACCAGCAAGGCCTGGGACGCTGTGCGCGGCTATGCAAGTATTCCTGAGGCCGAGGGAAGGCAACAATAAATAGGAAATAAAAAACATAAACAGTAATTAGCAAATAGCAAATAATAATTCAAAGCAAATTTTGAGGGAGAGGCTATGGAAGAAAGGTATAGGCTTTGTATGCATTTTGGTATCTGTAATAACACTGTTTACCTGCTTTTTTGAACCATGGACCCCACATTTTCCTTTTCCACTGGGCCCCGCAAATTATTTAGCCCGTTCTGTACATCCAGATGTGCTTTAGGTTGCTGAAAAGATTGGATGAAGTAAGGTGTAATAAGCACCTAGCAAAGGGTCTGGAGTGTGTTCGGTCTTCAAGAAATGGAAAGATTAGAAGTAAATTATGGGCCGTCAAAATATAAAAACATTAAGAAGGGCATTCTAGAAGGGACAGACAATCCTCCTAGAATCATGAGTGAAGAATCCTTCCATTTCGCTTTCCCTGTCTTCAGGGTGGGTGGCTATTTCTAGGGAATGGTTTGTTCCTTTGATATTAGAGGGTTTTTTTCAGGACTCATTCACCAAGTTTTTGCTCTCATTATTTAGAAAGTGGTTTGGCAATGCAAGAGGCCATGCTAAGAGCAATGTGAGAGAGGATGAGTGATTGAACAAGTCATTTGCGTGCCCATCCATCTAGTTTGCTGAGCAGTATTTTGATGCTGGTTAAAAGGTAGTCCTGGGAATGTTACAGCTGGAAGGTCTCATAGAGACCCTTTGCCTCACCCCTTCCCTCCTAAGTTGATTTGTTCTTGTTCTCGTGTGTGTGTGTGTGTGTGTGTGTGTGTTTGATCTTCAACATAGAGAACGGCAAGTGCTGCATGAACCTGAGAAAGGTTACAGGCTTTCAGCAGGAGAAGAAAAAAAAACAAAAAACCCTTAGCCTCTGGGAGGGGAAAATGCCCTGTCTATTTTTCTGCATCAAGAATATTAGTTTAACTAAAAGGAGTTGACACAGCTTCTTGAGAAACATTTTCCAGAAAATTAAGCCTCTGTTTTCTCTTATCTCATTTTCACCTTTGCCACTAACCCATGAGCAGTAAAACTCAGAAATCTTATAAAGCATTATGGCCAATAAAATAATTCATCAGTGTAATACATTTGGTCTGGGGAAATCTATTTTTATCTATTACATGGTACGTGGAGTGCACTGTACTTTCTTCCAAGTAACTTTTGGAAGATATCTGGCAAAATAATTCCATGTGACTAGCAGTTATTTTCTGGAGACTGGTATTGTTTTGACATGGAGAGCATTGAAAACATATGGTCTTTCATGTGTCTTGCCTTGTGCTTTTCTTGAAAATGTTTATATTTGCTTGTGGTGAAATGCATTAAGTTTCATAATCCTGAACAACCTTCTGGTACACAGATTCACTTTCAAGCAGCGTAACTGGGGAAACAGAAGTTTTTACAAAAAGATGAGGCTTTCTTATGTAGCTATGCATTTTATATGACACAGGTGCCAATTTTGGATTTTTTTCCCCTAATGTTTAAATTCCAAAGGAACTGTTATGATAAATTATCTTTATGCCACCTCCCCGATAGCTCCTATCCTTCAAGAATCAATATAAATTTGGCTGGAATTGTCAGTCTGAAAATAATGGCAAAGTCTGCACTCATTTAACCTCACAATGTGGCTTCTATAGTATTCATTGATCCTTGTGATTATGACAGTGAACATTTCCTGTGCATATAGTAGAATGAGATGGCTCCATTGAAAGGTTTTCCTTGACACAGGATGTCTATAAAAAGTACATTTTTCTATATATACCCTAGGATAAGTCTACTGGGCATTATTGCTAATGCTTACTTCCTTTATGTCCAGAATCAGTAATCTAGCTTTCTCCTTAGCATTTGCCGTATTTAAATCAAGGAAGTAAGAGGTAGTTTGGGCTGTGTTCATCAACAAGGGAAAGTCAAAGAAAATTTTGAAGACGTCTAAATGTACGTAC